TATGTTATTTTTGTTGACTTAAAATTGGAAAAGCTGATACCTCGATATATTTTTGAATTTTCTAAATTTAATTTTAATATGCGTCAATTTTTGATGCTTGATGACATATTCCTAAAAATACTGTCAAAAATATAAGAAAAAAGCTTTATTCTTTTTGTATTATATTACTATAATTAAATACTTTTTGTGCACGACGTACATTTTACTCACTTCCCGTACGTATACAATGGTTAATGAGCTTTCTCATTTACCAGACAGTTTTGTTGATGACATGCGGCAGCGATGAAAGAAAGCGGATCCTGGAAAAGCCGTTTAAAGAGCTTCTTGCTCGTACGTAACGGAGATAATTATCCACCTTTTAAGCTCGCGAAAGTGCCAGGCATGGACAGAGCGACGGACGGATTCGGGGTTTATCGATCTCCGAGCCACGTTGCAGAAATAACTTTCATGAACGAAGAGAACGTGAAGTTTCCTAAATGATTCTCGAGCGAAACGCGACAATAATCCGAATACGTGCTCGCCGTTAAATTTTACTTATTAATTGAGCCTATCTCTCGCATATACCTGTCCCGATAACTCTTCCGTTTGTTTTATACATTATGAATTTTATATATTTTATAGGTTGAACACCTATATACTTTGCAGTATCTCTCCCCGATCAATATTATATATATATATATATATATATATATTTTTTTTTTGGCAGATTGTCTCAAAAAGTTGAATAACGATACAAGACGGTATTTTTATAATGAATTTTGAAGAGATTATTTTTCAATGAAAATTTTATAATATTTCATGTTTTGAACAGCAAATATACACGTGATCAATAAATGAAGCTTTCTGCACAAAAAGAGAATAATTTAAATAAAACACAAACGTTGTGATGCATTCGTCGACATACCATGCAATATACGAGCGTTGATGAAGATCCGACTGTTGGATTGTTTTCATTGAAAGCTTTTCAGATTTTACACGTAGATCGAGTTCGATTGCGCATCGATTAATAGCCTGTCGAGTTTTCATTTCGGCATACATCGCAGCGAAGTTTCTGTTATCTATTGTAAAATCTACCTGTATATACATATATATAGGTATATATATATATATATATATATATATATATATGTATATATGCATGTTTTCGCAGTTCTATCAAGGGACTTTTTACACGCGGATTTGTTGGTCAATTTTTGAAACCGATTTTGCATTTCAACAAAAATATCTAAGAATCAATAATAAACAATTTATAAAGACAATCTTTAAAGAAATACAAAGGGATAAAATGCTTAGTTTGTTGAAAAATTGATGACAAATGGTATATAAAATTTGTCTCTTTTTCGACATTTTCACGAAAGGCTGAAAATTGGCTCAAAGAATCGGCGAAAAAGTACGGAAGAAACGGCGCGCGAGTTTTCTAGCAGATATCTCTCATATATGTATAGCCCGTATACAATATGCTCGAATTTTATTGTACGCGGCCCTATACAGCGATATCGGGTTTTCGGAGATGGAAAAATGCAACCCCGATCGGTTGGCTAGTTGACTGCCGCGCGAATAATGGATGCAGAACGGACAAGAGGCGACCGGGTGGCGAGATGTGTTGCCGGCCAGCCAGTCCGGTCGCGCTAGACTGACGCGTGGGGTTGCGCATAACAGAATATTGGCACTCGCGGAACCGGATAACCGATAATAATAAGTGCCTGCCACTCACACGGCCGCCGTACACCCGGCCCCGTCATCTATCTCTCTCTAACCAGAAGAGCCCGTTTCCCCGCGATTTGCGAACGATTGCCAAACGTATGGATTTCCTGATTTTCGAAACTCGACTCTTCCTCTCTCAATCTATACATATATATCATTTGATCTGTAAACGAGATGCCAGGTTGAAAGCAGACCGATATTTAACGGTCACATTTTTTTCAGGGATGTCGCGGTTTCCAAATTTTACACGGAGAGAATTTACTCTTAGAGTTTACCCGGAAAATTATGTGGTAATCGCGTAACAATATGAAATAATTGTCCTGATTAATATTTATCACAATATTAATATGTACGTGGTAAAATTAATCGAACAGATTTTATATCTTTTATTGTGGTAGATATTAACATTTTTATTGCGCTAAAAATATTACTCTCTTCTTCCTCTCTCGATCTATACATATATATCATTTGATCTGTCAACGAGATGCCAGGTTGAAAGCAGACCGATATTTAACAGTAACGTTTTTTTAAAGGATGTCGGTTTCCAAATTTTACACGCGGAGAGAATTTTCTCTTATAGAATTTACCCTGAAAACTGTGGTAATCGTGGAACAATATATGGAATAATTTTTTTAATAAGAGTTTTTCTGATTAATATTTATCACATTATTAATATGTATGTAGTAAAATGAATCGAACATATATTTTATATCTTGTGGTAGGTATTACCATTTTTTATTGCGGTAAAAATATTAATCAGAGAAACTCATAAAATTTTTCCAATATTGTCTCACGATTACCATGATTTTCAGGATAAATTATAAGAGAAAATTCTCTTGAAATTGTAGGATATCGCAATATGTGTTAAATCGTGTAATCGTGTAAAAACAGAATCTCTTATCACGATTAATTACGTTAATATGTTCGGTGCGAAAAATCCTCCGAAATTCACTCGTAAATTGTTCCGTAATCTCTACGTTGCACAGAGTTTCTTCGAGGATTTTTGTTTTCCATGAAATTCACGACGAAACGGGTCACGAAATGCTCATGCAACCATTTGCGAGTGACAAAACGATCGCGATGTAACGAGTGGAACAGAATATAAGGGAGAATAAAGAGAGAAAACAAAGAAATGGAGGAAGAATATACGTGTACATGCGCCAGTAAGAATAAACGGTGCAACCCTGCGGGAAAGGTAGATAAATACAATAGATAAATAAGAGGGTGAAAAAAGCAGATGGTGGAAAGAGACAGAAAGAAGGGAGGTTCGCTTTTCGCCAATAAACAACGTTGTCCGCGAGCGATTTTTTTGCAATTTAAAGTGCGAGTCGGATTTACTTCAACCAGAATCCACTTGTGCCGGATAGGGGTTGTACACGAGCGACATCACTGCGACGCGCGCGTTACATAAGCGGATAAACGAAAAAAGTCCTGCGGACCGGGCGGCAAATCAGCTGGTTCGTGTCATGTTCGCGACAGGACGGCGACACTTTTGTATCGCCGTTCTCCTTTTATTCTGATTCACTGCGACATTCTGTCATGATCCTTTCCGCAAGTCAGGGGAGACGTTATCGGCCGAAGAATCAGTTTTACAATGAATTACTCGGGATTTCTTATACCTATCGCAGCGCGACCGCTTACATTTTGTGTAGCATACAAAATTGTGCTTGACGTTCGAAAAGCGAGGACTTTATTAATATAGATGTGTCAAAATAAAATACATATGTACATAACATTGTATTATACACGGTGTTTCAGAACGAACGGAAAAGTTTTTTTGGAGACGGTTTTTCCTTACAATTAGCGAAAATGCTGAGGAAGGCCATCAGTTTTAGCATGTTCCCAATTTTTGCTGTTAGGTATTTATGCTATTATTTTATTAAAGAAAACTCTACCTAAAATTAACTGAAGAGTATAGTTCTGTTAATATTTTATTTCCACAAGGCTTAGTTTCCAAAAAAGCCTTTATTTTTAACTGTTTATAATTCGAAAATTGTTGGTGTCTCGACATTTTCGAAATTCATCTTCGAGTGATTTCAGGAATCTGTCATTAAAAACTTTTCCGCCAGTTCTGAAACACCCTGTTTAGAAAGCTCTGACTGAGAAATGTCGGAGAAGCGATCTGAAAAGAGCGCCGATAATTTAAAAAATTCGTGACCACGATTGCACCATCGGTTTGCATCGAAAGATTAGAATACTCTCGGGAGGAGAGATATTAGAATTGAGAAAATTCAGAAATGTCAGAATTGCGGTAATAATTGGCGTCAGTCCTTACGTACCACCTGCAAAAATATCAAAATGCAGAAGGAGTTCGACATCGTGTAATGCGATTCTTATGACTGTCATAAATTTCCTGGCGCGAAAATTGGCACCGATAACGGCACGTAAAACTCAGGCCCGCTCGTAAAAACCATGAATCAAATATCTATTTCGCACAAAAAGCAAACACAGAAAATTATGCGTCGTTGTTGCGATCGCGGTGAAATACAGTTGCGAAAGAATTTAGATCGGCAACGATTGCTTCGAATCGATCGCTGTTAAAAATCACCAATTTTATTTTGACAGCAGGAGGTATCGATACAAAAAGAAATTAATACACCAAATTATTATTAACGTTTTTTGTATCGGAATTCGAGTTATATGAATTATCTGTGAAATAATTTCCAGTATATTCGACTCTGAAAATCAATCGCGATGACATCTCAATTTTAGAATATATATTCAATTTTGTTGCAGAACTATTATCGCATTTTTTGCCTGTAATGCCGTAGTTTATCGCGTGTTTAATTGAATTCATGGCGCGCGAACGTGAAAATGATTGTAAGTTTTCGCGATGACCCTATAATTACCTTGCTTATTCCCAAACCAATGTTATCCACAGTCTATACTTTACACATTCATTATCTTCGATCGGCGTTGCGATATTGTAATAAATGACAAATTCCACTTTGCGTACGGCCACGAATAATTAGACTCATTTAAATTTCAATACTCCTGTTAATCGAAACTGCGGATTCTCAATTTTTGTTGCGACCAAAACAATTAGCTGCCTCGACCGAGAAACGAGAAAAAAAATATTCTACGAACGTATAAACATATTTCACAGATATGTATTAATATAAATATTATTTTAATATTGTATAATATATTCATACATTTTTCAAAACGATATCTTTTCTTACAAGAGTTGAATACATCATATAATATGAAAATTAAAAGCTAGAGGCTAGAACGGAAAGACTGAAAGACCATCTGGGTTTTTATACGATCGGTCAATCTTTTTTTTTTTATTACAGTGCAAAAACTGAGGGGTCTGGGGCGCACGAAGGCGAGAAGAAATGAGGTGGACGTGACACAATGACATGATGAAGAGCCTGGTGGGGATCATGTGGATAGTGTTGGTGCTCATATCAGGTACGTATAATCAATCTAGAAATTACATGTCTTTGATCTATATAAATCCATCGTCTAAAAATTTCATATCTTTCCGACATTAATTGCGCCGAAAAAAATCTTCACATCTGTCACGTAACATAATCATAAATATACTCATCTCCTTTTTAAATCATGAATTACATGATGTAGATATTTTAATTAAATTTAATGAACTCCAAATTAGCTAATTTCAATTTTTTAAAAATTGAAAAATTTAATTTTCTGATCTGTTTTTCGTCTTTATTACAAGACATTATTTGTTAAAATATGGAGAATGTGTTCTTTTAATTATACCATATTTGTTTAAAAGAATGTTTAACAATATGAATATAGCGAATGGATATGGAATAGTATAATTCGTCAATCAATTTAGATGGTCTGTTTTATTTTTCTTTTTATTTTCTGGCAAACAAAAGCATTTCTTATCAAATATTTGTCTCTCCATTTCGCGGGAGAAATACACACGCCGAGCTAGGCGCATACATATAGACACGGGCGAATATTACTCTCGCGTGCATGCGCAAATAATGACAGGGACACGTGAATGAAGACATGAAATCCGTTAGTCGAGGCTCGTAAAGCGTTTTCCGTTGTCCTGAGGGTATATTTGCGAGCTCGAATCGTCGCTATAATCCACGAACGCACGCGTCGTTACATGCGTCCGCATATGTTATCAACTTATGTCTGCGGAGATGCGTAACGCACACTATCGTGCGAGCATGGACCGTGCATAGGCGAGCACCTCGTGTTCGTGTTTACGATCGCATTTTGGAATATTTTTCTTCCCCGCACTTATGCGAAATTGCACCGTGCTGTAAAGTGCATTTGCCAAACGGCCGTAACATGTTAGTTTTTATCGCGGAAAATGCGCGCAAGTACAATTTGACCGCGGCAATAAATTATGCGATTAACGAAAAAAAATTGCGAGGAAACTACTGTTTCAGGAATTAGCGTTCGCATTTCATGGTATCGTCATACGTGTAATATTAATTAACTTATTGCTTAAATAAATTATACACGGACAGAATTTTCTCTTAGAATTTTTTCTCTGAAAAACATTGTGGGATAACATAGTATTGGAAGAATTTTGTACGAGTTTCTCTGATTAAACCGAAAAAAACCTTTGAGTAAAATTCTGTTTGAGGAATTAGCGTACGCATTCATGGTGTCGTTATACGCGTAATATTAATTAACTTATTGCTTAAATAAATTATACAGGGAGAGAATTTTTTCTTGAATTTACTCTGAAAATTATCGTGGGACAACAATATGGTATATTGGAAGAATTTTGTAAGAGTTTCTCTGATTAATATTTATCAATAAAAATATCAATACATAATAAAATTAATCAAACATATTTTATATTTTATTGTGGTAAAAATATTAATTCTCTTAGAACTCTCTTAGAAAACTTTTTTATTATTGTAGACAAGTTTGTTCATTCATACTTGATTATTGAAACATTCTCAAATTCTTCTGAAATTAAAATATTTAAAACAAAACTAATAAAACATGTATCAGTAAAATAAAACATATATGTATCATTAAAATATATTTAATTGAAAGTGTATCAAATAAAATCAGAAATGTTCTCCATCGTTATTAAATATTTTTCGCAAAATTTCAATAAACTAGAATAATTACAAAAAGAATATTACGATATAAAGCGATCTATTGAAATGTCTTTTTTAATGAAACATTATAGAAATGTTTAATATACGTACAATTTTCAACGTATCGCTAATATTAGCATTTGGAAATTGTTTCTCTTTTTTCGAGAATTGTATGTATTTGATTTGTATTAAAAACGGGAATAAACTCGAAATATCTTCGGAGAATTCTCGGGACATCACTATCGATATTCTTACGGGCGACTTCAACTTTTCGTCTCACGGGGTTAGAAGTTTTCCAGCTTGTCTCGAATCCAGTTTCTCGACTACCGTCCGACGTACGACGAGCCCGAAACAGCCCCCGGCGCTGCCTGGCTTGGTTTCAAAATTAAAATCACTCTGGCGACGTTGTATCGTGCACGCGTTACGAGGTAGAGCTCGTAAAAAGGCGATAAAATGACACGCGAGCGTAATAAATAATATAATGGCGAACCGAATCTATCGGCGACTTCATCATAATGACGAAATATCGATGCACATCCGCACGTCTTATCGAATAAACAAATGTTTATCTCGCTTCTATATCGATTTCTCGCGTTGAAGAGTGAAACTTTCTTAGCTGCGTTGGCGTTGGAGGGACGATGTAAATAAATGATAATTCGTTGTATAGTTTATGTATCGAAATAAATCAATATAAGGTAGCAGAAAAACATGGAGAAACTGGAACTATTTTTGCAAGATATATACATTTTTATTTCGTTTAATCTTAGCAGCGCGCAGCATGTTTCCGATATAATCGTTGAATACAGATAGAAGATTGACATCCATGTTGAATTTTACAATGTTCAGTTTATTTTTGGCCTTCTGAATTTCTCTCTATTTTTTCAAGCAAAGAAAACGAAGGGAAACGATGAGCAAGAAGATAGGCAATTAAACGTTAAAACGAAAGTAAAATACTCTTTTTAAATCGCACTTTTGTGTGCGTTCTAAGATTAATGCGAGCAATTTGTGCGAAAATCCAGAAGCTTAATATTTTATCTTGAAATTGCAAATGAATGGAGAATAATTCGAATGATAGCGCGTTATATCCAGTTCGTAGCTCTTGGCTTAGTGTGTTGGTGTTTATAATGACGGCAATACTTTATGTACTGCCGTACGGCAAAGGGTTAAATATGCGCAAAGCGGAATCCACACGGCACTCTCACATGAGCGCGGATAATGGGAAAACTACGAAGCGGAATTACCGAGCTGTCCTGTTACGTGGATAAACCATCCACGGCTGTCTCTCTTCCTTTGATATCTGCCCTCGGGTATAAAATATTTCCCGCTTCTCCTCTCCTCGCGTCCCTTCGGAGCCGTATTTTCGCTTCGTTTATTTATTCGGCAACCAACTGTCCGACGCGATATTAGCCCTAAACTTCGCACCAAAACCAATTGAAAAAGGAAACTTTGAGATAACAATTATAAAAATATAATATATCTTTTTTTTTTAGAAATATATGTATATTTCAGAAAATCATTACTTGAACTTCAAAATTAATTGTGTGTTTCAGATAAAAATGAATTATATTTTTTTACCACAATTTGATATTTTTTAAATATAACTTTGGTATTATATTTGAGATCAGAGTTTTTTTTTGCTATTGTGAGTTATTTTAGTGTACATTTTTTTTCTAGATCATTAAGTTTAGAATATCGACATGTTTTGTTAAATGTGGGATTTGGACATATTTTTTTTCTGTATTTTCAGGATGCTCAGGAAATCCAGACGCGAAGCGATTATACGACGACCTCTTGTCGAATTACAACAAGCTGGTTCGTCCAGTGATCAACGTCACAGACGCCCTCACCGTTAAAATAAAGCTCAAGCTTTCGCAGCTCATCGATGTGGTAAGCAATGATCTTCTTTGTTTTTTGTATAAAAATACAAAAAAAAAGAACAGGAAATTACAGAGATTTTGAGAGAGAATTTCAAATATAGATATTTATGTACTTGCATATTAATATATAAAATATATTTCAAAATATTTTATTACTATTGTTATTTGAAGACAAAAGGAATTTTTAGTTGCATTTTCATACTTTATCATAATTAATGTTATTACATTATAGTACGACAGATGTCGTTGATGCGTATATACATTGCATATCTCGCGTAATATATTTTTTAATTATACGCATGAGATTACATCGGCTTGTAATATATTTTCAGAGCAGCAGTGACGTATTTTCACAAAATTATTCTCTTACAGAATTTGAAGAATCAAATCATGACGACGAACCTCTGGGTCGAACAGGTAATATATCTTGCAATCATATACATATATATTTATCATAAGAGAATTACGAGAACTAAAAATATCGAGGATTACAAAATATTGTTAAATACATTAAAAAAATATATTAAACAAAATTTATATTCTGAAAAAATAGCAATTAATTACCGAAAAAATATCGATGCACTTGTTTTCGATATATTATCAATTTTTCATAAAAATTATTATCTTAAAAGCAATCGCGTAAATAACTCGCGAAATAAATGGAATAATTTTTGATCGTACGACGATAAGTTCGAAGTCCGTTGAAAATTCCACCGATGGCTGGTGACCATTCTTCGTCCAGGTGGAAAATAAATATCCGCAACCGGCCTCTGTCGATGACACGTTTTAACGCGCGCGGATTTTCGTATGCGTATGGACGCAGAAACGAAGATCGGACAGGAGCTTCCGTCCGAAAAGCCAGAAAATAACTCCGGTGAACCGTGCAACCCACTTTCAAATGCTGGATTACGTAAGATAGATAGATTCGCCATGTGTGCGCGACCGTTTTTCCAGGGATATATATCGAGCGAAATAGATTCGTGTAATAAATACGCGACTCACGACTCGAGAATCGGGTCATTAAAGGATAGATATGTATGTATGTGCCTTGTAACACGATTGCAAGTCGTCACCTCATAAATTCCAAGATCTTGTTATGGACTCAAAGAAGAACTAAACAGAAATATTTTACAGAAATATCTGTTATATGTATATATATATATATTTTTTAAAAATTGTAATTCAAAGAAAAATTGCACGGAATTTTAACATATATTTTAATTTTGTTTATATGTGCTTACATAATTTTTCTAGTACATTTGTACTAGTTTTTCTCTTGTCGGGTGCTTGTCAGAGATATCGAGACTTTTTAATTATTATATACTACAGTTGAAAAAACAATCAAAAAAATAAAATAGGATGAATAACGAGATTGGTAATAGAAATAAAGTTCGAATAAATTGAAATTCATGCTGAAATTGAAACGTACCAATTTTATTACAAATTTCGATTTATCCGGACTTTATTTCGAGTCCTCGATGACTCGTGCTCGTCGCGATCGAGCTTTTGTTCGATAATCGCGAAAAGAAATAAATTTATAAATTAAAAAGACAAAAATAACAGTGTTAATAAAAAAATAATGATACTTATAGATGCGCAGTTTAATTATAAATCGATGAAACGGATGGGATAATCTTTTGATCCGAATTCAAATGAAACTTTACAAGCTGTGAGGGGAGTTCTCACGATCCCCCGTATCTAGGCGACTTCTGTCAGTTCATTATAGGGGTGTCGTCTAACAAAACCTCATTGGTGCGAAAGGACACCAAATATTAGTGTTAAGCGGTAAACCTAAACACATCGTTGATGTTCATGCATACATTTTCGAGATTAGAACAAGTTACTCCACGTACTAGCTATCAGGCGAAGAGAAAGTTCAGAGTATCCGCTACAATCCGTCACGCATTAATGTTATCGCGAAGTTTGCTCACGAAAATGTTAATTTCGCCGCGATTTATCGACGGGATTAACCGCTTCGTGCTGGCGCAACGCGGCCGAAAATGTCCGCATTGCGAATAACGTGTCCGCACAAAAAAAAAAAAAAAAAATAGCTACCACAGCTAAATTTTAGCTATGATAGCTAATATTTTTTAGCTATAGAATTCTCCGTTAAACTATAGCTAAAAAATTATTAATTACCACACAAAGAGAATTTTCTCTTAGAATTTACCCTGAAAATCATGATAATTATGGGACAAAAATTAATCGAACATATTTTATATCTTATTGTGGTAGGTATTAACATTTTTTATTGTGATAAAAATATTAATCAGAGAAACTTATAAAATTTATCCAATATTGTCCCACGATTACTATGATTTTTAGGATAAATTCTAAGAGAAAATTCTCTCCGTGCATAACTAAAATGTAAGCATGATAACTAACAAAAATGTTAGATTGTAATATAGAGAAAACCAAAATTGAGCTACGGTGGCTAATATATTTTTTTCCGTCCGTTGATTTCCGGAGACCGACTTTTGAAACGTGACTTTATAATAATATTTCCATATCTCTCTCACCGTGGCTCGTTATAACATTATTGATCCGCGTAAAATAAGTTTAACGAGACAAGTATCTGTCATAACTCGCGTTACGTAATAATAATAATATCGCGATTATAATTGTCGAAGGAGCGTTTACCCCGCCCGAAGAATCCGAGATCGATACAAAATACGGTTGCAAACATCGCGAGAGAAGCAACTCCGATGGTCCATTCTACGGTTAAATTTAATCCCCGACTTTACGGCAAGTCGGAGCTGCAAATATCGAGGATCACGAAAATTCCGCCGTATGTGTGTACCACATTTCGCGATGAATATTTAATTAGTTACTTCGCGGAGTGGAGCAGCACTCGCTGTTTAACTAAGCGTGTTACCCTCGGCTCAAACGTACGACCAAATTTCGCGTACATGCCATATCCGGCTCTATGCAACGGCATAAGTAATATTCTATCCGGCAAATATACACATTGTAAGCGGAGATGCTTCGGCTTCGGGCTAGTATTCAGCAAGCACGCATAATGCTGTATGTCTACTGTATAAGGACGAGTAATTTCTAACGAGAAATTTTAATATCGCTATTATTCTACAAATATCCGGTTATAAATGGAAAGATGCCAGTATAAAGTAATCGAGGCTTCGCGAGGTGTAAGGAATAAATTTGAGACATTTTTTCTCAATAATAAATGTCGATGACAATTATCGAAAGGAGAGACAGACAGCTTTAGAACTGTTGTTAACACAATAATCATCTTTTTAAATCTACCTTGAAAAAATAGTTGTTCAACTAAACTTAATAAAATTGTTCAACTAAAAGCTGAATAGTTTTTGTTAGTTGAACACAAAAATAAAATTTAAATTAAATTAACATTAAAACTAACAAAATGTTTATTTGATTTAACTACTTAATGTACATATGTTCAATTGACAAAGTAGTAATTTAGTCGAATAATTGCGTCAAATTGACAATTTTTTAATGTACAAATATTAACTATAAAATATTGTATTTAAAAATTTTTTTAAATTAATTAATTAAATATTAATTAATATTAAATATTAATTTTAATAAATTAAACATTATTAATTGATATAAGGCTTTCTTAATAAAATTATAATATGAAGAAAAAGGGTTAATTAAGAGCCGGGCATGGTTATTAATGCGCGAAAATATGGAAACTTAATATTTCAAAGTTTTTTTATTACAATATTTTAGTACAATATATATAAATAAAAAAACTTTGAAATATTAAGTTTTCATATTTTTGCGTATTAATAATCATGCCTGGCTCTTAATTAGCCCGTTTTTTCTTCACATTAAAAATTATTACTTCAACGTGATTTATTTCGAAACATAATTACGCGAAGATATAAAATGTTACAATTTTAAAGAGTGATGATTTTTGTTTTATTGAGTAAGAATTAGCTTTGGATTCGCGTCCAAAAATCCGTCAGGAAAATTTGACCCATATATATCTTACGACATTTTTTCCAAAAGTTGGGATATTGGCGATGAAAATTTTTGCTCCTCTGTGTTTATTCAACGAAATTTCGATTAAACGAGTTTTTAATAATTTATATAAAATTGACTAGATCAACGATGCAGAAATTTTTTTAATAAAGCGCGCGCGATACAATTTTTAATCGAGCAGGAGGGCTGAAAGAAGTTTGGTGCACCGTATGTAAATCTCCGCGTTTCAGCCTTAACTCTCAATGAGGAAAGTTGCAAAATATTGCCTCGATGTCACGGTCTAGTGTTCGTAAAGTAATTTCAGCCTGATTTTCCCGATACCATGGATCCTTTGTCGCTTTCCATTTAAATACATGAAGTAGGATGCGATAGTTAAATCTGTTGAATAAATCACGGCGAGTTTAAAAGAAAAGCATTTGCACATTTACGCGCGCAATGAAGAATCGCGAAAGGTGTAAAATAGTTTTCCCATTATTTATTCAACGTAACACAAAATCAATATTTTGCACTCTTATAAATAAGGAGAATTAAACCCCAGTGGCTTTATATCCATATAATAATATAATTCTCGATAATCATACATGGTCTACTTTTACACAGTAAAATTATTTTATTACACAATAAAAATATTCCGCCAAGCACAAAACAGAGCATTGTATTGCGATATAAAAGAAAAGTTTTCCGATTACTGCGCAACGTGAAGTAAAAAACGATGCGATGCAGTGCCAATTCGAGTTAAGAGTCGACATAAGAAAGAGTGTAACAATAATAACGTAATAAATAACATGAGAAAATAATGACAGAAGGATAACACGTGGCAACCCTCTGTTCGCAGTCATGGTACGATTACAAGTTGAAGTGGGATCCGAAAGAGTACGGTGGGGTCGAGATGCTGCACGTGCCGTCAGATCATATATGGAGGCCGGATATAGTTTTATACAACAAGTAAGATCTCATTTTAATCTCCAATATTTTCTATTCGTTTTTTCAAGACTGGGAATTCAGAGAAAGAATCATGTGTTACGTTCGACAGCGCCGACGGTAATTTCGAGGTGACGCTGGCGACGAAGGCAACTCTTAACTACACGGGTAGAGTCGAGTGGAAACCGCCGGCGATTTATAAGTCTTCCTGCGAGATTGACGTCGAATATTTTCCTTTCGACGAGCAGACGTGCGTAATGAAATTCGGCTCGTGGACTTACGACGGCTTCCAGGTGAGAGTTAATATTTTTCGCGGATGTTTCGAAAGAAAAAACATTTCTTTCACCACCCAACAGTTGATCATTTTATCGTCGACGTCCTTAGGAAGTTCTCTCTGACGTGAAGAAAATTACTTTTAATTTTTTGCATATTTTTCCGACATTAAATAATTAGACGATTTCTTCCTCGGAGATATTTTAATTGATCCAATTAATTTCGGGGACTCAAAGACCTCATTTTGTTGATGCAACGGAAGGCTCTCGCGGAAGTCTCGTTAAGGTGATCATAAATATTCTGAAAACGACGATTGTGACTTTTGTAGCGCATTACGACGAGAAGAATATTAGCGTCGTCGGTTATAGACTCGCATAGCGGAAGATCGTGTTGCTTGTTATCTTTTTTTTTATTGAGCAAATGTCGCTTCTTAGAGACTCACGTGCGACTTCACAATCGTGAGTATAAATGGCGACCGTCGCGGAGTATAAACGAGACGTCGTGATAAGAACCGATAAGGGGTCGTCAGACGAATTGTCTGACCTAAATATTAAATGTTATTTAAATTGCATCATGTCGCCTTACATATTATGAATATTTTACGTGTGCTTGCGGTTGCTGATGTATATTAGCTTTAAATATAATTCTCGTCGTGAGAGAAACAGGGTTTGCAATAAGTATATCGATTAATTGGATATTAAGCAACGCGATATCAACAATGCGTTGTAAATTTTAGTAATTTACTGTTAAGGTCGATCTTAGACACATCGATGAGGTACGAGGCAGCAATGTCGTCGATATCGGCGTCGATCTGTCGGAGTTTTATACTTCCGTTGAATGGGACATACTGGAAGTTCCTGCTGTAAGGTACGTATATGGCTTTAATACATTTTTTTTATTAATTTCCTAGTTTATTTGTATCTCTTGCTCCCGAATATATAGATATATGGACGCAGCATTATAAATAATAGTAGAGAGAACTTTGACTTTTACATGCCGTGTTTCAAGCTATTACCTTTTAATTAAGAATTTTAATAATAACTTCATTAATAATCAACATTAATATTAATAACACCTTGACTCTTTGGTCCTGGATCGAAGAAGGTTGTGAGAAATGTATGACATGTGCGATTAATGTATAATATCGATCGTTTAAAGCGAAACGCGCAAATATGCAAATTACAGAAACGAAAAGTTTTACACGTGTTGCGACGAGCCTTACCTCGACATCACTTTCAACATCACCATGAGACGGAAGACTCTGTTCTACACCGTTAATCTCATTATACCGTGCATGGGGATATCATTCCTCACGGTGTTGGTGTTTTATCTGCCAAGCGACAGTGGAGAGAAGGTAATTAATTCATAGCCAAACGCAAATTCTTCTTAAACCCTTTCTTTTTCAATTTTATTTTATTACGATGTATTTCACACAATTTTTTCCTTTCTTCATATTGAAGAATTTCTGTCGAAAAGTTTCTTCATCTTGTCGCTTCAGATACTTTTGAAATGACAGAAGAATCAGAGCATTTATTTTAGAAATAAGAACAATAAAAATCTGGAGACGCAAATATTTGATATTCACATTAAATAAAAAAAACTTAATATAACGTAATCGTTCTCTCTTCATCAGCATTTCATCTCTAAATATTTCTAAATATTTCGACTTAATTGCATAATTGATTGACTCGACAATTTTATCGAATTAGATCGGAATAAAACTTATATGTCATCGTAGTTTAATCCGCGTTGTATTTTTAGAAGGCTCGATATATTTTTTAGAAAAAAAATGTTCTGTTGCATATCAAAGTGCACGCATTTTATTCGATTACGTCGGAGAATAGAACGATATATAGTTTCCGCATTACAGTTTAATTCACGATCGACCTTTTCGTCTCTCCCGTGGCATTTCTCTTTACACGCCCTCGGAGACTGCTTCATCTTGTCGCGCCACAGATTTCCTGAAATGCCACGAGAACCAAATAATTTATTCTTTGTAATTATTCTATGCAAAGAGAGCTCTCGCGGTTGAAAATGAATTTTGCAAACGCAACAATTTGACTTGATTATATCGGAATATGAAATAGTGCATCATTACAGTTTAATCTACGATCTGCGACCTTTTTATCGCCTGTGTTGTGTGTTTTAAGTTCCCTGTAAGACACGCTCGACCTCGAGCATCAATATATCCTTGCTTTAACGGTTTATATAATTCAGACATATTGCTCCACTTTGTCGTCGTCGAGCGGAAGGTATAGAGAGATCCTCTTTCGCGGCAGGAGGAGCTTGAATAAGCAGGGGAAAAGGGAGAAAAGGTTATCGGGTTGCCGGTCGTTTAACAATCGGCGAATACGCAATGGGAATACAAGGAAGATAGAGAGTAAAGCGGCTTTAAACTGTGTCTCGTATGTTTGGCGCGCAGGATCAATGCGAAAGGACGGAGAGATAATACTCTCTCTATAATCGGCCTCATTCCCTTCCAAGGTGTAGTCCACATCTCTCTCGGTTTTGCCATTAAATCCTCCTGTTGTAAAATAATGTCAAACATTGGACAAATAATTAAACAATTGTATATACAAGCGTTCTGAATGTTATTATACAGGCTGTCCTATAGGAAATTGTTGAAATTAATCAACTGTCATTTTTTAATGCAGTTATTGAGAAAACAAAAATTGTGTTGGAAATAAGAAGAAAGTCTGCAGTTTCTAATGAATATAAATAAAATGTTTGTATACCAGTTTATTTTATTGATAAAAAGTAGCTGCATGGATTAAGAATGATGACAGCTGATTAGTTTCAGCAATTTCCTATGGGACACCCTATATATATTACATAATTTATTCTTGATATCTGTAACATTTTTAATATTCAGAAAATATAGTTTTATAATAGAGAACGGATGTCTAACGAAATTTCCAGCGTTTTCTGCAGATAACGTGATTACATCATGATATGCCGAGAAAATAGGTTGTTCTCTCTCTCTTGTAGGTCAGCCTGTCCATCTCGATTCTATTGTCGCTGACTGTGTTCTTCCTCTTGCTGGCCGAAATCATCCCGCCCACGTCGCTCGTGGTACCGCTCCTCGGTAAATTCGTCCTCTTCACTATGATCCTCGACACTTTCAGGTATGTGATATATGTGGTATCCGCGCGATTGTATTGTAGGAGACGATTGTAATAAGAAAGCATATACGTCAAACGCTACATCAGTTAAGTTAACTCAGTTATTTTAACATTAAATAAGATGTACGTAGGAGAATTTAATGCTCTTTTCTGCTGACGTATTATTTACGATTTTATTGTTCTAGCTGCCTTGTAAAAAAACTTGTACTAATTAAATTTAAAATAAGTATGATTATATATATATATATATATGAAGAGAGAGCAGCGAGAGAAAAAAGGAGAGTTTTCCGACATTTTTGCGTTGTTTTTTGCAGTATATGCGTAACAGTGGTGGTCCTCAACGTTCACTTCCGTTCACCGCAGACCCACGTAATGGCGCCGTGGGTCCGACGAGTGTTCATCCACGTTCTACCAAGGTTGTTGGTAATGCGCAGGTATAATACGCCAACGCAGAGAACCGATTACGATTCCAGGCAAGATATATTCTTCCGACATTTGTGGCCCGGTCATTGGAATCGCGCCAAAACGAGCATTAAAGCACTTCATTAGCGTTTCCCTGTGCACGTGACATTAGTGTCACGTCATACCTGCAAGCATTTAGCACCATCGGTGCATCGCGTTGCATTGTATATGCCAATCTCTAATCGCATTTCCTCGCTCTCTGTTGTCATACAAATAAAATTTCCTGATTTCTGGCGATCCTCTCATATCGATTTTGCTAAATGAAACGAGTGTCATTCGTGTCGTCTTATTATAGATTGACAAAATTAATATCATTGCGTTATATATTTAAATGCCACGTATAAATTAAAAGAACATATATTTTATTAATATTATTAAATTGAAAATAATGTAAAAATCAGGTAACGAAATTGAATTTTGACATGTTCCAATCACAACCTTTCTTCAGGAATTTTATTTCATGTATGACATATTTTTGATATGTTATCTCGCGTGAATTAAGCACTATCACATGGCTGCTGTCTGTATTATTATCGTATATTCATATAAAATCATTACAATTGTTTCTTATCATTTAACAATGATATATCGCGAAACATTTGCAGCTTTGTCAAATTAGAAATTAAGAGCATGTATAGCTACAAATGTCGTGAGCTTAATTTTACGAAGCAATGACTCATTCAACAGCTGTAAGCTCTGAGCTTGAAACTGTTATAATTAAGGCATGTCGACTTCAGAATTATGAATACAGAAAATCAATTTGCACACATGCGTTCGAAATAATTTATTAATCTAATTATTAATCAAGAGCTTAAAAAATACATAAAATGCATAATGCATACACATTCACTGACAGATTGTATCAAATCTCGAATGTAATTACTCTCATAGTTTGGGAGTCGGATCTGATAAGACGGAAATGAATTTCTGTGTCAGGTAAACGATATTGTTTTTCCACTTCAGGCCGCAGTACCAGATAGACAAGCGTAGCCTGGGCGGGCATCATGGGCATCGCGTGATGGTCAGAACATGCAATGGTCTCGAATTGCGAGATCCATCACTGTTCGTCGAATCCTCGGCCTCGGAGTTGGTCGAGTCCTCTGTGCTTTTTCCTAGTGTCGATTCACGGGACGAGCTACATCCTAGGTGCGTTTTTCCCCGACAATATTCTCGGAATTAATGATGCAAAATAATATACATACGTTTTACATATGGATAACGCAAAATAAAATACAATATTTATTTGAATATTATAAATTCGCGCTTTAAATATGATATATCTCTATTTCATCCTTCAAATAATATAAGAGATAAAAATATATAGTAATTTCCTCCCATTCTACTTCTCGTAAGAATACATCTTTTTTAAATTAGATTTAAATCAGTGTTACGCGACACCGAGTAGACTTTTCAAGAAATAGGTCATACAAGTATATGTGCGTCAACGATATAAAATTCTTCATGATAAGATGGTTTTACGAATTCAGTGAAGTCAAAAATATTCCAACGAACGAATGCCGTCTGTTCAGAGGTGCTAAAATAACTATTCGAAAAATTCGGAAAAAAAATTTCGAAACTATGGAACTGAAATGAAAAATATTCATATTTTGATATATAAAAAATTTCTTATAAACAATTATTTATTAACTCGTTTTTGCACGACACTGTTCATCAATTCTTTCAAGATTGTATATACATATACGTAATATAAATATGATAGCTCTTTATATGATTAATTTTTATTTTAAATTGGACGAAGTGATTCATCATTTTGTTATGGTAATTTAATTATTATCTCTTTAGGGAATTGGAGGCAGTAAATTTAGGAAGCACATGCCGTATCCACGGTTCTCCAGCGGCAACGGCCGCACAGCCGCCGCCCCAGCTCCCAACAGAGGAGAGCGTTGACGCTCTCTGCAACACGCTTCACCATTGGCATCACTGCCCAGAATTGTACAAGGCCATAGAAGGCATCCGCTTCATCGCCGATCATACAAAGAGAGAAGAGGATTCTACTAGAGTAATTATATTACTTCACATTTTAAAGCTCCTGGATCTTTACCGTGGTCATGTTAGATTATGACGCAAGATATCAGAAGCAAGAAAACATACGTCGAATAAACTCTGGATATTATTCGATATTTTGTTATAAGAAATATATTTCAAATATCTTTTACATTTTATATTTTTATGACATGTATCATCTAAAAATTATATGACATACATTAAATATTGTTTCAATAATTTGTCGCTTCGCAATTAGCTTAAGAAAACACATTTACACTTAACATATTTTAATTGTCATCGATGGTCTTAGGTCAAGGAGGATTGGAAATACGTCGCAATGGTGCTCGACAGACTATTCCTCTGGATCTTTACGCTAGCCGTAATCGTCGGCACGGCTGGGATTATATTACAGGCGCCGACCTTGTACGACGATCGCATTCCCATCGATGTACGACTCTCCGAGATCGCCTCCACCACTGCCAAGCCACACATCGTCACGAGCCCCCTCTGAGGGATAATTACTAATTACGTTAATGCCGCGCGCGTAAAGCCATATGCGAACACATACATAACAATCTATTACGACAAATACGACTAACGAAACGTATTAACGTCCGAAAGAGACTGAAGCCTCGCCAAGTCTTTGACCTTTGCGTGAATGTATATCGTTGTGTCGCTGCCGAACAGAGAATTCTTATTATTAAGGCACAATATGTGTTCTATACTCCTCTTTCTCTCTCTCTCTTCCTCTCTCTCTTTCTCTACTTCGCTATAAAATTTGAATATACATTAATTAAAAAATATACGTTCTTTTCTGTATAGTTAAGTGAATTAAAAGAATCAGAATATTTTCTCAAATTAGGTTTGTGATCTTCGAAATTAGAGGTATTGATTTTAGCGATATCGTTTCCGTTCATTACTTTGGCATTTTTTTCAATTAATATTTAATAGTAATACTATTTATGAACGAGATACACTTGCGCCGATATATTAAATAATTATAGGGACCTATGTGTAGGGGATAGCGATCTGCCAGTATATCCGTGCGTTGATTTTGTCGTCTTAGTAAGAATTCTCGAGCTACAGCGCAGAATACACTTTTTGCGCAATCGCATAGAAGGTAAAGAAGGTAAAGAAAGGAGTATCACGACAACAAATATGTCTCAACTATTTGCACGCTGATCGCGTTTGATTCCGTGTAGCACGTGGACGTAAGAAGTTCATAATGTATAGATAATACGTATAATCCGATGTACACAAGATATACCTTCTTATTTCTCGAATTAAATAGGAAGGAAATTCAAATTGCGCATAAATTGATAAAGTTAAGTATGCGGTTTTCTGCACAGCTTAATCAAATGCATTTTTTAAAATATAAGTTGAAATATAAACTTTTTTATTTTACAAATTCACAATATGTTTACGTAAATTATTGCCGCCCAAGTTAATCACGAATTGTTTACTGAATAGAATCTTTACTTATTACGTATGCAATAAGATAACAAAATTCGAGCAACAAGAAGAATTTATCTTAACATCATCGGATTCAGATGCGGCCTGTGTTTCGCGACTAGGGAATTATAATGAAGTTTAATAAAAGAAATGAATATATATAGTAGGTAAAGGGAGGATAAACACGTATATACTGTAGAAGTAATTCAGAAAGATCTTAACAGTACATATTTCGTGCCAGTTGCATTTTTCTAACTCTTTCGATAGACACAAACATTTATTACACACGATTACTTCATTTTGTCAGTACATTAAAGAATTCTTTGAGAATGCAAAAAATGCGAGCAATAAGAAAATATTCCGAATACATTGCCAGATTTTGTTTCATATAAAAGATACGTTTATGGTGTTTATACATATAACGAAAAGAAAAGAAATATCGATGGATGAAGGATGCAAGTGGCACGAAGTTGTACGAAGCCTGTTGCAGACTCAGGAACACACAGAAAATAAAAAAGGAATATTACATTTCCCAACACACTACATCGAGCCTGTAACAATGGGGCCATATTTTCACAAAGAACGAAAGTGCGTGTTCTCTCGTATTAAAAAAGTAAAAATAAAAAATGAAATTCTAAATATATCTGCATCGATTACACGAAGCAGAGAACAGGTTGGGCCTAAAAGAAGAGAAGTTTAGAGGACTCAACTTTTATTGCTCATAATGTATATGTTTGTAATAAGAGTAACTTTCGTAATTATATTTGTTCCAGCACCACATATACCGGCCGGATACGGTCGGCAATTTATTAAACGGATTTGACGGAATACGTAATAATATACATACGATAGCGAGAATTGTTTGATAGCGTTTCCATGATTTATCGTCTTCCTACAGTAGCATTAAATTCCAATTCGTTTTTATCAACGACGGCGGTACGCCGCTAATTCTTGCCAAAAAGAGAAAAAGAAAACAGTAAGTACTGCGATCGATAATTTATTAGCGAAACACATGTAATCGGATCATGAGACATCAGTAGTCCGCCGTGTTTGATACTTTGTACGTTTCGATATAATTTAGTACGAAAAAAAGACTTTAGATTGTATATCGGCGCGATTAAATAAATTAATTATAGAATTATAGACAGATGATTTACGTGATGGATGTAATTTGTAAGTTTTATTAACCCTGCAATGTGATGTATCATTTTGGAATCGAAATATAATAATTTTGTCGATAAATAACATAAACGTATATAATTTTCTTCAATCATATACAAAGGTTTCTTCCAAGTTTGTTATTTTTAAAATTGTTACTGTTACATTGCAAAATTGTGTTGAGGATAAAAAGAGCAAGTAAATTTAATCAGAAAGTGCCATTATTATTTTAGCGATTATTTTTTATTTGAATGAAAAAAATACAATGGTAAACTATTTAAGAGACTCTTCATTGCTAAAATAAATTTAAAAAAAAATATACGCACATATTTTAACTTAAATACTTTTTATTTTATTTAACAAACAGTGCATAAAATATGGATGCATGAGAACAATAAAAATGATTATATTATCGAAATAAGTGCAGTAATATTTAATACAAGTTGCATTTCTGACTGCAGCATACATTCATAAACATAAATAATCTATATATGTACAGAAACGTGATATAAAATAATATAAGATATTTTGCTTCTAAGAGATCGATATTAAACTTATCTATTAAATTATCGTTGTCTTTATTTTACAATTTAAAAATGACACTATGTGATAATTTAAATAGATTGTTCTTTTCCTAGAATAAAAAAAAGTAGTACCGAGTAATATTCTGCTTTTAAGGCAATGATAGGCACAACATTTTGTCCACCAAGCTCAAAACTCTTATATCAATTAAGTACATTTCTAGCATTATCATTGAAACTGTTACATTAGTTTTGTTGTTCAAATGCATGTAATGCAATCTGTTTACATTACATATTTACTGCCATAAACAGATATATCTTGAATTATCATAGATATCAAATTCACTGTATGTAGAACTTTATAATGTGATCAAAATCAACTTGTTATTACAAATTAGAGATGTCTCATTTGGTCTACATATAATCATTGATAAATATGTAAACTACATAACAATTCCAATTTCATATTAACAACATGTAGCATATTATATCTTACATGTACATAATTATTTTCATAATTTTGCCACTTCGAGAATTTACGTATAATCGTATTCCATAAAAAGAAAGTATATTTATGTCATGGACAAGAATTCGACAACATATATCGTACGTTACATCTATATGTGACTAGCAGTGCTTTGAGTTGCAAGTAAGGCAATTAACGATATATTAACAATATTTTAAAGTACTTCTTAAAAATGCCTTTAACTCTATTATATTATTGAGTTACATTTTAATTTGTTGTTGAGACATCTTACTAAATTATAAACGTGTAAAGTGATTTAATTTTCTACATAAATCTACGAAATGTGTATATCTACGAAATTTTCGAATAAAACTTAATTTTTTGTATAAAAACTACAATATACAGTCTTGTGTGTTACTCTTGAATTTTTTTATTGCTACGAAGAGAAGATGTAATTTACTTGCTTTGTGTTACTAATTTACAATTACATAAAGTGTAATTGCACAAAGATGTCTCCTCAATAGAAAGTATAGTAATTGTTTGAAAATAACATATAAAATAATTTATGTATAATTCTAAAAAATTGATAAAACTTGATATTTTAGACATCACAATATATATATATTCACTATCCTTTCATCGTGCAATTAAATTCATCTGAGAAAAGCTCGTAAATGTAAGTCGTTGTAAATATAAGTTCTGCAAATGCTATTTTTCAAAATTGCATAAATTTGCTAATCCTGCGCTAGCTCGTCGTTTAACGTATATGTTTCACATTCTGCTTTTTTAAGATCTTCTGTCAATTCATCTACATTATTTTTAGCTTGACGCATCCTTTTAATTTTTTTTTTAATTGCCATTGCGCCTGTTTATATAATAGCATATTATTTAAATTATAATTCAATTCAGATTTGATTTCAAATTAAACTAACGAGCATACTTACAAACTAGGGTTTGCCATAATTCAATTTTCTTCGCTTTATTATTATTAAATTTTCTCAAAGACTCTTTATGCCTTTTATGAATGCCTGCTAATTCAATTGCTTCTTGTGTTGGTGGTGGAAATAGGCAAATTTCAAGCCAATGTGTAGCTTTTGCATGTCCAATAAGTCTTAACCATACCTAATCACATATTTAAATTACATATATGTAATTGTCAATATTTAAATTTATAAATCAAGTATTAATCTTTATCTAACGTATAGATACTTGAGATGATATATAAGATAGTCTCACCGAATCTAGGCATTCTGCTATAAACCAAAGCCACAGACCAAGATCTATCCTTGTATATTTAACTTCTTCTGACCAAAGCATATATGTAGGCACATAATACAAGTATAAATATATCCTGTAAATAGACATATAATTAGCTTTACTGTTATATAATAAATTGATATTATAGAAGCATTACATATAACATATACTAACCAAATTAGGCAATGGAATAAAAATAACAGCTTACAAATTGATCTTCCAATAGTTTGAAAAAATAATTTGGAAATACACAACAGGATCCTACAAGCATCAACTATCCCAATGTCAATAGTTTTATATATTAGGAAAGTACTTGTAACTGTACACCACCTATAATTGTGAAATAAACAAATAAATAAATAAATATGTGTGTATATATATATATATATATATGTATGTATGTATACAAACATATATAATATTAATAATACAATAAAAGCAATGGTGTCAATTTTCAATATGATTAATATTAAATTAGAAGTCAAAGTAAGTTTTTAGACTTATTGAAAATCTTCAGAATTAGTAAACACAAGAAGATAAAATGAAAAAAATAGGAATATAAAGAAATAAATAATCGAAAAATATCATGTCTCAAAAGAATAGTGACTGATTATAACTGAGTGCTTTACTTTTGCAGATATGGATTCAAGATTACAGATGCAAAGAGTAAGTTTGCACAGCCCTTCATCCAAGCTCCCCAACACAATATATCAATTCCTGCTTGATGAAGGTAAAAGCTCTTGTGTAACGCAAGCCCTAATTCCTGATATGTTATTCCCAGCTTGTGCGGAGCAAAGTTTAAGATTTGCGTAGCTGATGATTGCATGTAACATACACTACCAAAACAGAATCCAAAATTCCACGTTGCCTTGATTATCCTATTTCGTTGTATCAGTGGAAAGTGCATACGCCTGAAAAGGGACTATAAAGAAAAATAAATATCAAATATGTAAGTACATATATTAATAAGAAATATAAAAATACGCTAAACAACATATAAAAAACTCACATTAAGACATTTGACATACAGCAAATACAGTATCGCCCAGAATAGAACAAGATATCCTACGAGCACATCGGTCTCTCGTATTTTTGTGTCGTTTGAGTAACGTGAACCGATAGCTTGCTTGTTCCATAAATTCGGTAAGAAAGGCAGAAAATTCGTTGGATCGAACAGAGAATATAGGCCAACGGCCCAATTACTCGCCGCTTGTTCATACATATTTTACATACTTTCTTTTATTGTCTGACAGTGCGACAATAATATAACTATATTATTAAATATGTGTAATGAGATTTTAGGTATATAATTAGTATAAGAAGTACTTAAATTTATGTTTTACTTCTCTCGTTATTATTCATTTCGCTTACATATTTATATATAAATATATATATGCATGCATTTGCATGACCTAGTATAACCATAACCATGTGAACTGTGATCAGCTGATACTTTCCCTCTCAAAATCCTCGCAAGAGGGCGAGGAAAAACCGCGGGTTTTTCAAAAACTGAAATCTACGTGAGATAAATATGAACAGATGTTATAATAGCAAAATAAATATTTATTTAGAGTATTAATCAGTCGGTCTATCGTTAAATTTAATTTATTAAGTTTATTAATTTCAATATTAAGCCGTATAACTTCAAAAATTTATTTCCATTAACGAGTATATTTGGGTACAAAACAGCAAACAATAGCATGGAAATAATTAATTTATTCCAGTTATAATATTATATATGTGTATAAGTGCGCATATGTTTTTTACAAGTATCTCGAAGATACAAATTATGCACAACCGATTTAATACTACACCTCACAGAATGTGTACTCTAGAGATCTCTACTAAAATTAATTATGTTTCATTAAAATTGAGCACTTCTAGCAACATTGTTATATCTATATAGTCTATAGCAATATAAAGTTTAACTCTCGTATACCATCTAATTCTAATTCAAGTATGAACACTGAGTAAAACTAAAGGATATTAAAATGATAGATATATGTATCTTCATATATGTTATATATAAAGATAATTAATGAATGCTGTTTGGTAAAATTGTACTTTTTATTTGATCAATCTTTTTCTAATCGTTTCACCAATAGTGCAAGAAAGTGCGGAATATTATATGCAATATTTAATACAGTCGGATCTCTCTATTTTGGAAGAGAGTTAAACCTTTTCGGATTTTTCTTCTTCTCTGCTAGATATGTGTTCATTAAATGTTTATCACACGTGTGACTACGTGAATTTACATATACGTTTTCTTTTCCAAGCGCATTTTCTAGAATGGAAATTAAAGATAAATGAGAAAAAACGAACTCGATTCCAGAATAAGCAGATTTGATCCTCCTATAAAAATTGCGATTGTTCGTATTCGCATTAAATAAATTCAATTACAAAGAACTTCCTTTTCGAAATTTTACTTATAATACATTAAATGAAATTACAAAGAAAAGTAAAATTCCGCAGTAATATTAAATAAATAAAAAAGCGGTTTTCTATATGCATTTCTTAGAATAGTAATTAAATTTTATTTCGCAAAGCCATACAATTATAAAATCAATTAATTATATTAATTATATTCATGTATATGCAATCTTTTCTTGCATAATTATACCAAGTATCGACTATTCCTTATTTAGAAAGATCTAATAAACATTGCCAATTTTAATCAATTGTAATAATAATCTCGATTCCACGCGAAGAATGGATTATTACTGCAATACGGCGTTTGTATTCTAATAATTACATTATTACGATTCACGTATTGATATTGCGATCACATCAGTAATCATTTTCGCATGTTCAGGGATTCTCAAGTATTAAATTTTATGCAATTTAGTACATTTTGTATCAACGAATATTATCCTCTCGCTATTAAGCTGCTAAGCGTAAAGATATATTTTTAATAATATTATATTTATATTCTTTAATGTTTAACATTTTTATAATATTAAATAGTAGCAAATGACGATGTGCGCGCGACTATTTGAGAATCCTTGATATAGATACTGTATATTAGAAGAATCATAAAAGTATACCGCGATACATGGAATGAATATAAAATCATAATAAATAAACGCTTATACGTAGCGAGTCAATTGCATAATCAGAATTTCAATATTTCGAAAGCCTGTCTTCAAATGGTTCTCCTTTATTCGACAAGGCAAAAGAAATTCATTGACGCTTCGAGAAAAATTTTAAATCATACATGGCGCAATACACTGGTTCAAGTTGATCGTCTAGCCAAGATTATTTCTATTGAACATTTAAGATTTTCATAAAAGTTGCACATATTACGAATGCAACAAAATATAAATTTTAGATATGGCACCATATAACTATAATTTATATTCTTTCCTACGCATTCTCCCTCTCTTTATGTGTATGTACATAAAATATATACAAAAAGGACATGAATGATATTTTGCGCCACTTTGGTTTAAGGATAAAGATTTTCAACACAAATTATGAATATGAAACACAGAATATATTAACATCCAGTATATTAAATGTAGAAAAATGTACCCTCTTAAGAATTAATAATTTATTAAAAATAATATATTGTATGTCATTGATATTTCGGTAAATAATTTTCTTTTGTAAAAAACAAAATATATTTTTCTATTTTTTCTTCTTCTTTTGCCTTTTCCTATCAATATTCATTTAAGAAACCCTTAGCTGCATATTTTGTATAAATTTGATACACAAAATCTATACAATTGTACAGTTGAAAATTACAATATCGACGCGTCAAGAAAACATCTATATATCGATTCTATATATATTTCACATATATTTTAAATTAAAGGTACGAGTTTCCAAAATCCGGAATTCTTAGAAATGTGTATCAATCGATATCGGTGTTTCTTTTTTATAACTCTCATCGGATTTCTTACAACTCTTATCGGATACTTGGCGAGTTACATTCACAACTCGCACAACTTAAGTTAAACAATATCTTTTATTAACTTTACTCGTAGAAATAAATAATCATATCACTACGTATATATTTACACGTTAATGTCGATCGCCGCGGTATCAGATACAATTTGATAATATCGACAATTCACTCACAAAATGAAAAAAAAATCCAAATAAGAAACAAGAAACAAAAATATTTGATGGAGCTGATGCAACAACTTCCAGTTAGATGCAGATTACAAGATTCGATAGTTTGTACAATCTTACTTAGCTGCAATCTCCAAAATGCATCTCTGCGTTCTCTTTCGAAGTAGTATTTACAATAATTCAGAGGTAATTCGGTAATTCGACTATGGACCATTGGTCATGACTTATATTACAATAAATTTTGTTTTTTTCTTTTTCATAAAGTAACATTTAATGATAATATATACCACTTCTTAATGTATTTCAACGTTTCTGCAATTTACAAATAACTTTTAAAAGTGTCCAAATTTCTAACAATATTTCTGTTTTATATATTCTCGATCATGTCGAGATATCTTTAAAGTTTATTTGACGCAAAATCTGTCTGTATAGTTTCCAACATCAATGGAAAATTATGTGACAAATATAAATCGTTAAATAAATTATATTCATTAACAATCAATAAATTATACATATCAAACGTATTCTAGAAATTATCTTTTAAATACATCTATAATGATGTATAGAATTAATACATATTCTAGCTATTTTATGTATCAATTTCATATAGAAAATCTATATTTTTTTACAAATTAAATTTTCTTAATTTTGAAATCAAAATATAGCAATCGATTTAAATTAACATTAATTTTCTTATACAAAGAAAAGAAGAATAAAATATTATTGTCAATATATGTTTTAAAAGAAAATTGTATGAGAAATTGCAATCTAGGATGCGATGCAGAGTAAGAGTGATTTAAACTAAGTAATTACGCATCTTCTTTAAGAGTGATATTTCTGTTTTATATTCACCTTCATTATGTCGTTTAACTGACGCATAACAGCTAACCCTGTGTTTAAAATCGCAGTATGCTCCATGTGCGGCAGAATAAAGAAAGAATAGTTTAAATCGCTATACATACAGTTATATTTGCCTGAGATCTTTACGTTTAATTTTGTTCAATTGGTTTCTGTCGCGTGTGCAAGATTAGAACAGAACTAAAACGCTCTTATCTCCTCACTATATCATAAAAACAAATATCTTATCTCGCAGTATCAATTTTGTTTGAAAAATGATAACTTATGCGCGTTCCACTCTACATAACCGGGGAAAATTTATTGTCTCAATTTACATTATTGAAGAATTGCAACTTATTTCTATCTAAAGCGCACATGAATAGCATACTTCAATCAGCAACAATGAGTTACAGAGTGAAATAACGTGTCGATTTTACAACATATCTCTGCAGACGGGAAAAATCAGAGGAAGTTTCGCAACCCGCGTAATTGGCGGCCTTCGAGAGACTCCGTCGGAGTTTTATAAAATCAAGCGAAGTCGCGGAAGCGCGGTCCGCGAGGTTGAACGACGAGGCGGTGGCGAGGTCGCGACGGTATCTGCTCATAATGCCAATTGACGCGATGACGATCGACGCGCAGATAATGGCGAATCAGACTTGCCCGCCCACGTCGGCTTGATATCGTAGCGTCAGGTATTCGGCAGCCTCTGTCATGCGGGCGATGCTGCAATGAAGGCCGCGCAGATGACGTTTGAAGTTGAGCGCGGCGATACTCGCCAGATCGGCACACTCCTCGCCCTCGAGCCCGCTATCGATCTCGATGCCGACCTCGGAGTCCGAATCGGAGGTGGACGCGATCGAGGACGCGCTCTGGACGCTCTGCATCGAAGTAGTGCTGGGGCAGCGCACGTGGCCCAATCTGGCGCCGGTTACAACAGGATAGTGATGCAGGTCGGCGGACGGGCTGCCGACCGGATGATTCTTGATCAGCTGATCGTCCGCCTCGGTCCTGGGTTCCTGAGACCAGAGCAGCTCGATCTTCATCTGATTGATGATGTTGTACAGGCGGTATAGATCGGTGTTGGCCAGAGTGTCTTGAATCGTATAGCCACGCTTGCCCTTCATGCACATCGTGTCACCTGCGTCGCCCACTGACAGATCCAGCAGACGACTGGGCACCAGGATGGTGTCCTCCATCTCGCTCACGGTGCGCACGAATTTCTCCATACTGTTCAGGATGCTGGCGTTGCTGAACTCCGGCTCGTCGTGCCGGGCGATCCTTCGCAGACTTCTGCAATACAAAGTTATTTTTTAATACAATGCACTTGAGGTATATATAATATCTTAATTTTATGTAAGTAAAAAAATAACACTTTAATATGCTCTATAGAATAAAAATAGATTATAAAAACGTAGATATTTGAGAATCGCCAGACAGAATTTAAAAAAGATAAAATTCTTCTCTCGACCGTACTAGCAAATATTATTTATTCAATCATTTGTGATTGAATAAATAATATTTGCCAGTATGGTCGAGAGAAGAATTTTACCTTTTTTAAAAATAAATTAATTGATGAAGTTACATAGTTGAATAATTATCTTGGAATAGAATATCATGTATCTCAAGTGCATCGTACGAAAGAATAAAAAATCATTTTAATACAATACACTTGAGATACATGATATTTTAATTTTATGTAAATAAAAATTTACATTTTTAAAAATAGATTGATTGATAAAAAAACGTTATACATAGTTGAATAACAGTTTTAGAATAATAGATTCCATTCTTAAGATTCTTGAGACCTTACGCTATTTTGTAGTTAATATTAGCATTCAAATCATAATTTATTTTAAATCTCCTGGGTTTTTTTATGGTTGAAAGGATCGTCCGAGGAATTTCTTCACAGTCGCGATGTTTTAATTATCGCGACTGACATTGAGACTATCTCGTTGAGATTAAGATTGTGTAGAATATTCTATAGTAGCAAGTGAATAGACTGATCTTTGCTCGACAGCCGTAGAAACATATATTCAATGATGAAAACACATATTACAAGAGATTATTCGAGCGAATAAGCTGGCGACTTTGCATCTGCGTTTAACTGCGGAAAATCGAAGATTTCTAAATGATTGATTTGTATGCACTTCACAATTGTGGCGTAATGAACGAGTATGATGCAATGTCATTAAAGCAATGTGATGTCGCAGAAGCATGTGACACTTTAAAAGAAATATCCAGCCGTCAATTTCCATACAATTCGTAGTAATCGAAAAATACTTCTTCTTTGTCGATAATTATACCGATTATTGATGATATTTATGATGTTCTAAATTATTCGTCCGATTACTTTTTAAATGTATTATTGCATAATAACCTATTGAGTATAAACATAGACATCTGTCATTAATGCCAAAATTGAATAACGATGTACAAAATTACATAAATGAAGAACTTGACGACATTTTAAGCATGTTACAAAGATATGAACAGATAACCAGAATTTTATTTTTCAGTTTAGATTTTTAGTGATGTTTTAAATTAAAGAAAATAATATTCCAAAATATTTTCTTCAGATTTTTTCGCAATAATATGAATATATCATCCGAGAGAAATCTCACGATATTACAGATTATTGCATATAATTAATCTTGACATACATTACGATTCATAATATTAAATTCAACAAATCGATGTTTATCATGTAATCAAATTCGAATTATTATTCAATAACGTTTATTTCAATGAAAAGAATTTTACCCATTCATCTGTGCTTAAAAAATTTCATGCATGCAAATAAATTCACAAAGATAAATGACAAAGTTTATATGCTCATAGATAACGTAAAACAATTCTTTTACATAAATAATTTTTGATGTTGTGACAAATAGATTTAAATAAATTACAAATTCTTTTTTCTGTTATAAAAATTATTTTAGACAAAAATAAAAATAATAAAATATAAATAAAATTAATGAACAAACCCGCTCTGTATTTGAAATAACAAATTAAAGTGATAAATTAAGGCCAAGTAACGAGCAACATTAAAAAATAAATTAAATTAATATATAAAACGATTTTAATGTTAAAAATTTACATATTTAAAAAAATAAAAATGTTTAATAAAAATTTATCGATATTATTCTAAACCACAATAATATGGTATCATCCGCGTTATTATTGATTCTGATTTTTCAAAAATTAAGAACAGCGAGTATTCCTTCATTTCTGTGTACATATTGATTAAACAATTTTCATAAATTAAACAAACACTTATCTTGCTGGCGATAAAAGATTCTATATTATAATTGACAAGCAAGCAACTGAAATTTACAATAAAGTCCAAGTCCACCCATGAATAATTCAATCGTGCGCACGCACTCTTGGCCGAATTAATCAAATCGCTTTGTTACATTAATCGACATACCTGCATAATAAGTATGCATGCGCGAAGTGGAAATTTTCTTATCAATGCACTGACCGAGCAAAATTATGAGAAACTACGCGCTACGTTCTAGATTCTAACGAGAAAAATGTTGCAGATGCGGCGTCGACGATCGATTCTGCTTTCGCTTTCTTACACTTACAATTAGTTAGTTAGCAGCAGAACGACGGCATTCAAAACATTATTTTATTACGTTCACTTTGCAAACGCATTTTGCATCGTCGTCGAGAGCTCGGACTCTTCCTGCTCGAATTGCAAATTATGTTCTCACACATAAGCAAACAACATTATTTGAATATTCTCTAATGTCAAATAATGCAATATATCATTATGCAGAATGTTTTATTTATAAACGTTTAGTTTTTTTCCTCTCGACGCTTAACGTACGTATGTGTGCACGTGCCTTTATCAGTCTTTAAGCGAAAAAAAAAAAAAAAAAGCTCGGAGAAAATAACAGCTAGTTCTAGCGTTAAAATCGATCCTCGACTGAAAGGACGCGCGCCCAACGAAATTAAGCGAGGTGTCTCAGATGACGCGCTAAAAATAGTCGCCGTGCACTGGTCTACTTATATAACTATAGGCCTATTCTGCCCCACTTGCATGTATGTATTGTAAGATCTGGTCCAGTGTACTCGAAATTAACGATCTTCCTCCTGCTGTTCTCGATGACGGAGAAATCAGAACACGCGCTGTCGATCTTTAACTTTCGGACTCTTGAAACTTGGGATCGGTGTAAAGTCTCGACAGAAGCCATTTTTTCGCGATATTACATGAAAATATATTTTCAATGCCGCAGCATACACTGACAAAGAGTCTCTGTTTAAGAAAAATGATTTTGAAAAAAAGGTATAATTAATCATTTATTAGACACATATTTACTCTCTGTTTGGATATAAATTCTCATATACAAATTGAATAGTAAAGTTGAGTAATAGTTTTTTAATAAACGTGAGAAAAAAATAAATATGAACAAGAGATTAAATTTAGAAGCAAACTTTATTTTTAGTAATTTTGTGTTGTATTTTTTTCACATATTAATAAAATTGAGAGTATGACTCTTTTTTATTCACAAACGTATAAGAATTATTTTCTTCCATTTTATACTGAAATTTTAATCGACTGAGATTATAATTAAATAAATTATATTAAAAATATATTTGAAATATTATTTTATTTCTATAATAAAATATGTGTAATGTAAATATCTATAATTGTCTTCATTTAAATATTCTCTATATTCTATTAATAATTGCTTGAATATATATTTGTCAGCAAAATTTCTGGAAAACATAAATTTTATTAATTATAAAAAAAATACAACATCACAAAATGACAAAATGGAATTTATTTTTTTCTTATATACTCAAAAACTTTATTACTCAACGTTATTATTTAATTTGTATAAGGATGTATCAGAACAGACAGTGAATATTTCTAATAAATTCTTAATTAAATTTTGTTAAATCGTTTTCCTCAAACAAGGTTCATGAAAAGGAGTCTACCTTTGGATCATCATCTCTGTAGAGAAAATGAGAGTACAATTCTCGAATGCGCGTTATCAATTTTAATTGCGTACAAATTAACCGCAGTTTAAATGAAAAAAATTAAAAGACGAGTAGAAAAATTGTTCTAAAAATCTAGGAACCATGCGACTTCAAATCCCGATTACGTAGAACTTCGGAGCAACGCGCGAAGAAATGTCTGTGCCACTTTTTGGAGAAGATTCTCTATACTCGAGATACCGTTGCGAGATATACCTGTTCTTTTTTACACACGGTGTCTCTTTTAGGGAAACGAGGAGAACATGCTGCTCAAAGTAAGCCATCGCCCAAGGCATGGTATCGACATCAAAGACGCTAAATTCCGCGGCTGAAATCGTAACGTTCTAACCGCAGCCTCGAAGTGCTGCTTCTCGTCAATTTTCCCCTAACAATATAAGATCCGCGATTATACAACCGGGAGAATTGAAATTTCCTCTATCCTCTATAATCGCCCTAATCAAAGTCATTTTTTCCCTTTTACGAAACCTACATGTCACTAAATAACGTCTCACACAGACAACATATCGGCTTATATCTCACGATATTTACGAAGAAAATTGTTACGGAACGAAGTTGAGTGGTTTCGCAACGACAGCGTTGCATAACTAACGAACACGGGGTCGGGATCGGAGACGAAGCGGAAGAAAGAGATGGTGTACATACATAGGGGAATGCTGAGGCAATAATCGTTGCGCGATGATAATGAGCTCCTCTCAATAATATACTTATGCTATACGTACCGCTTAGAATGCAACATCCTGTGCCTAGGCGCGATATCTCCGATTGATATATATATATATATATATATATATATATATATATATATATATATTTATATAGATTTCGAGTGGATCACTTTAGCTCTCCGACGAGTCCGCCGAACCGACTTGATCGATGCCTCAGTTGACAGAGAGAGTCGCGAGTCGGCGGACGTTCGTTAAGAAGGTAAAGACCGACCGGTGGTCGCTGATGAATATTCGCGCGCGGCTCGCATTTGCCATGCAAAGGCCCTCTTTACGCTCTGACCCCGCGACGCGAACGCGTATTATATGATAATGGTGGGACCGATTGTCGTCTCCTCCATTATTCTGGTATCCCGTCATCTCTCCCTCTCGCCGCCACCTTTGAACGGTTCGGTTCGGCCGTCGAAAACGCGAGAACGCGCGCACGCGATTCTCTCCTCGCTTCACGCCTCTTAATGGTTTTTTTTCTCGAATGAAGGTAAAAACCCAGGCCGCGATCCCCGCTTTTTAACTCTGACGTCAATTGGACATGTGTGTGCAATCTTAATGACGAACCGGTTA